GGGAAAGAGATTCACATCGAATGAGGAAATCGTCGCGGAAATCGAGGCGTATTTCGAAGGCTTGGACTTTTCATACTACAGAAAGGGCATCGAAATGTTGGAAAATCGTTATACCAAGTGTATCGCCCTCGAAGGCAACTATGTTGAGGAATAAATATAACTTTGCCCAAAAATCACTTGTTTTCATTAAAAATCCCGGGACTTTTCAGCCCATGTAGTATATATATATATATATACATACACATACATATATATATATATATATACACATACATATATATATATATATATACACATACATATATATATATACATTTAGCGATCGTTTTTACAAGCAGCTCTTTTAATATCCGTCTGCTGAAGACGTTAACACCAGGCGGCAGTTGAAACATTCTGCATGCAGACACGTCATAGACACCCCACGTTACTTTCCAACGCTCGCTCTTCCTCGGATTGGCGAGAACGAAAATTCGCAGGCGCATTCGCGACAACGACAACGACCTAAATGGCGGACGCCTCCTTCATGGCTATATCGGATTATGATCCGGGCGGTGCTGTTCGCCTCGATGTGGAGCCACCTTAATCCGCAAAGAGAAGGACAGAGAGAGAGAGAGAGAGAGAGAGAGAGAGAGAGAGAGAGAGCCCGCTCTCTCGCTCTGTTCCGCGCGACTTATCATCTCGATCGTTAAAAGTGCATGCGGGTGGGTCTATAGCGCGCATAGTCGGCATAGGGTACATCTGTCTCCCCGCGCGCATACACGGGGTGTCCCTAAAGCACGATGAAAAGCCACCGTATGGTTCCGTCCGACATTAAAACTCACATTTGCATGATATCGGTTAACGCGAGTTTGAATCACCGTCTCTCATCTTTTTGCATATTATATTTGATGACTCTTATCTGGAAAGAAAATGGATCTTTAATGTAAAGGGTGCCTTCGTTTTTCCTGGCGTAAAGAATCCATCTGCACGATGGATATCGGTTAGCGTGAGCTTAAACGAAGAAGCATTTAGTTAATTTAAACATTTGAGCGGTGTTTAAAAAATCATCGATATTATATCGGGGGAAGGAAATTAGGGTTTTCCTCTCGAAAAGAATTTTCATCGAACGGTATTTCTTTCTCGAGCGGTTAATTTTAAGCGTAGATCAATCGAGTTTCGAGTTTAACGTCCCGTTAAATTGGAATCTTTCAAACTTCTGTCGAACCTCAACTTGAGATTAAATTAAAATGTGCTTCGTAATGTGTAATATTTGAGAAAAAGTCCAACTTCAACAAAGCCATTTCTAAGCTTCAAAGAAAGAAGCTCGAAAGAAAGAGAGAGAGAGAGAGAGAGAGAGAGAGAGAGAGAGAGAGAGAAAAAAGAAGGGACTCGAGAGTGTTTTTCTTCACCGCGTCGCCGCTCTTCTCTTCCACTCTGCTCTTTACATACGTACTTTATACGTACGCGACTCGAGTCCCGAATTGTGCGAGACACCCTGTAGAACCGCCGTCGCCGACACAACGATCGTACGTGCCGTGTTCGTTGTTGACGGTGAGCGGGTGGCCGGACGGACGGGCACCGAATAAACACACGTCGTGTGCACACATGTGCACGTATGCACGCACTCACCTATACACGCGCACGTACGCACTCATACAGACGTACACGTCCACATGTACCACAGCGTACATATCACACACACGCGGCAGCTTGACGGATGGGATGGACTGGTAGGAGGGTAGAGGGACAGTTGAAATGGTCGTCGCTCGTACACACTATACACACGTCAGGCGTACGTTTCATCCACCTGCAATGAGCGCGACTTCAGGTAGAAAAAAGAAATGCCCGTTTGCTTAGGGCCGCATTAGCATCCACTACGTTCTGCGTTCTGCCCGGCACGGCGTTTTCGGGGCCCCGCCGTGCGCCGTTTCGAACCGCGCCGGTCCCTCTCGAGAACTCGTGAGATATCCTCCTCCTCCTCCTCCTCCTGCTTTCCGACCTCCTCACTCGCTCCTCCATTATTCAGTATCCTTTGGAAGGATAGAGGACGTGGCCGGTATTCTTCAAGGATGGACAAACGCGCTCGCTCGGTTTCGGGGCTCTCCGATTTCACGGTTCTCCACAACGCCGTGAATTCGCGGTTCTATCGGATTCAAAGAGTTCACGAATTCCTGGTCCTCGGTGCCACTGGAGAGCTCTTCATGTATACGGATAAATTTATTCTACTCTCGAGACAGACGCGCAGAGGGGAAGAAATTACGAAACTCTCCTCTTATCTTCAAAAAGGAGCGAGATACGTTAGATCTTCGATCCCACGGATCCTCGGTTACTCTCGTACTCTCGTACTCTCGCAAAGCCGCAGATCTTTGTGTTCGTAGTTCCGCGAAGCCACAGATTTTCTTAAGTTCGCGTATGGAGTGTCTGGGAGGAGAATCGGATATCGACGTTCGACCGCAGGTACTAGAAGACCAGCTGAAAGTACAGGAGATCGAAGAATGAAGTTTTTTGCACCTGTCTCTTAAGTCTCTTTAGCCCGTGAGAGAAATCTTCTCGTAAATGACAATGATGACAATGACTTTTTATTTTCATTTCATCCAAATTCTATACAAAGAATATTTTGTTGTACGCGTAAGCATATTGAATTCAAACCTGTTTTAATGCATAAAATTGCTTACAACATAATCGCTTTATATTACACTGACAAAAGTATTAAATAATAAACACACACATTCAATATTTTAATAAATATTTGTTTGAATATTTCTAAATAAATATTTACTAAATGTGAACCTATATTTATTTGATACAAAATCATTAATTTGATTTAACTGTCACTTTTTTTTATTGAATAAATATTTATTCACTGTAACTAAATGTTTACTCAGTACTGTTTAAAGAAATATGTGTGTTAAAATTTAAAACTTTTTTATCAGTGAATATCGTTAAAAAAACATGAGATTTTTTTCTGGGATTTAGTATATCAAATTCAGATATTTTTCGTCGAAGATTGCGGATATTGTCACGTAGAGAAACAGCTCATATAGACCCGAGATTCAGAGGAAATGATAAAGACAATAAGAGCCCATGATGAAGTCGTTATAATAAATAAAGTATTTCTGTCTGATTTCGTAACTCAACTTTGGAACCGCGCATCCCGATACGTTTACCTTTGCTGACAATGAGATTTATTAGCGCTATGATTCATCGCCGGGATAATGACTTCTCGCAGTTCGGCCCATCTGTGATGGATCTCAAGACCAGGTATAAAATCAGCTAGGTCGTTTATTTAGATCCCGCGGCACTTTTCTTACTCTTATTCGAGATCTCTTTCGAATTCCTCGCCTCCATTATTCAGCGTTTCCAATCGAACGGCCGCGATGCGACCAGACGCGACGCCGTGAAAATCGATGCCGCGATGACGCGATCGACGCCAAATGATAAGCATCGTTGTACGTTTTGTCAACGACATTCGCCGCGTGATAACGACCAGTCGTTTCCGGCCGACTGGAAGCTCGCCTCCCTATAGAAACCGCCCTTTTCTCGTCTTCCGCGATACTTTCCGATTTCGTGCGATGATTTATCACGGATTGTTAAGAATATATATTTTCATTCTGAACACTGAACACGTAACAGAGTAGTACGTATACGTCGTAAGTTTATCAGTAGAATACATTTGGAGAATCATAAATTTATATGTAAGTTATAAAGTTATAAAGCAGTTCATCGCAGAGAGAGATACAAATAGTCGAGCATTTCGCAGCCCCTTGTTGGCGGCGCACTAGGGTTAATTATCTGAGTTCTGGAATTATCCCTCTTCTCCCGCGGGAAAGATATAATCCGAGGTTTAACCCTCGGCAGGACCGAGTCCTGATGTGTAACATGTCGGGTTGAGGGTGAGGGTCATTTATCGTAGGAAATTCGGGAATATCGGGAGTTAGTTGCGAAAACGTCAGTTTTACTTCGGATTTAGTCGGGCGATTTTCCGTGAAAATTAAAGTCTGGACTTCTGTGATTCTCTCGTCGTATGGAGAACTTCGGCATCGGTCATTACGCGTAAAATCGATAATTGATGCTCAATGGTTCGTTCAGATTTCGAGTCAGGTGGGAAAAAGGAAAAAAGAAACTATACGTTATATACGATTCTTCTCTTCTTCTTCTTTTTTTTTTCGTATAAGTGCGCGCT